AGTAAAAGAGACAAGGGTGGTTTTTGTTAAGTTATTCTATAATCAATTAAAGTAGGTTAGTGTGGTTTTGTCAAGGTATTCTATAATTAGTGAAAGTAGGTGAAGGAGGTTTATGTCAAGGTATGCTGTGACTATTGAAAGCAGGTTAGGTGTTGTTGTCAAGGTATTCTATAATTAGTGAAAGTAGATAAGGAGGTTTTTGTCAAGGTATTCTATGACTAGGGAAAGTAGGTTAGGGTGTCGTCAAGGTATTCTATAATTAGTGAAAGTAGGTGAAGGAGATTTTTGTCGAAGTTTTCAATGACTAGTGAAAGTAGGTTATGGCGGGTTTTGTCAACGTATTTTTATAATTAACGAAAATAGGCAAGGGTGAATTTTGTCAAGGTATTTTATAATTAGTAAAAGTAGATAAATATGATTTTTCCAGGTGTTCAATATTTAGTGAAAATAGGGAAGTTTTTTGTTTTGTCAAGGTGGATTAGCATAATGTTTGTCTGATTGTAGTTTAACCGACCTTCCCAAACAACTCCAAAATTCTGAACTAACTGAAGAACAGCTTAAGCGATGCAACTCCTGGGCAAGTGGTATCCCCCTACCGGTAGATCGATTCTCGAAGATGAACGAGGTGTCCAAAGTGGACAAGGATGGTGGGCAAGCGCAAAAACTCCCATTATTGAATTCCTCAAAAATGTTTGCTAAAGGCACTAAGCTCAATGAAGTCAGGACTCCAGGTCCAATGAAGGCCACCAGGCCTCAACAAAGTAAGTTAAACATTTACAGTACATGTTAAATGGTTTGTTTGTTTCGAATGTTTACACAAGGGCTATCTAGACCTTCCTAATTTTAAACTGACAGACTAGGGGGGGGGGCAGCTAATAAATAATACCTACCGCCAACTCTTCGGCTATTCTCATCGAACAGTGGAATTCGTCTACAATTTTCATGATGACAATAAAGTGTGAATCACGATATATCAATCAGATTTAATGCACAACACGCTAACCACTAGGTCACACCCCAGCCACAGTGTGAATTTTTAGTAACTTCTGACATACAGTGTTGCTTTTTTTTTCTATCTCTAAAAAAGTTTACAAATTACCTATTCTCTTGCTGGGTCGGTCGTGGCCTAGTGCTTGGAGGTCCAGGATTGTGAATCTTATAATTCATGATTTACGAACTGTTGTCGCACTTAACAGACCAATGGAGTGCTGTAAGAGTGATTGATGGTTCAATTCCACTATTGGTCAGCTATCAGTTGTTGTTGTTGTTGGTTGCTGCTGACCTGGTGTGTTCCACGTAGCTCGAAATAGCAGCCAGCCCTTATATGGTGTTGGGTGAAATTTTGAAACGAAGAGATATATATCTTCGTGTTATTAAACCTCGTGCTAGAAGTCAGATTCACGAGATACCAATGCTAAGCTGTTGTTTGGTTCTTGCAAAAAGTTTAACAATTTTAAACTACTATATACATATATATATGCGCGCATGCCATGAGAGATAGAGAGAGCGTGACCCAAATGTAACGCCATCAGAATACCCCTGTAAGAAATATAACAGAACGAGTAAGGCCACAAGTATCGTTTAAACTTTTAAAGAAAATAACTTTTTTTAAACCCTAGAATTACCATTGACCTTTTAACTACTATTTTTTCACCAATTTGACTATTGGTGCTTAAAGAGTCTTTACTAACGTATGAGTTACAGATACTCAAAATATGTAAACAAAAGTACTGTCAATATTGCTGCTAAAACAATTAATTACCACTAGGGTTCGCTGTGTATTTTGACAAGTTTTTTTACTGTAAATAGTGAAATAGTCAAAAAACATAAAATTATTCAGTATGATACAATATGTACCCCCCCCCCATTCGTAATAAACGACATTACTGTTTATCTGTTGTTAAGCACAAATCTACATAATGGGCTATCTATGCTCTGCCCATCACGGGTATTATAACCCGAGTTTCAGCGTTATAAACCTAAGTGAAGCAAAATCAAACTCTCGCCCACTGGGGGTTTTTCACTACGTAGAATTTTTAGGCCTAATTATCAATGTAGCAAGGATCTTAAATATATTAGTAAGGATAAAACAATGGTAGATTTACAGTCTTGAATAATACTTTTAGTTTATTATTTTTTTTCGTTAAATGTTTAGCGGTTTAATGAGCTTGATTATTCTATTCGGTAGTGTTTTCTTTATATTGTTGACAAGATGTAGAAAGAACTTGAATAATTCTCGTTGTACGTTTTCTGATGTAACAAAATGAGATGAAGATTAATTCTGATAAATTGTGTAAAAATTTAATTCAGTTGTTAATACTTTATCTTAAAAAGCCCCCGGTGACACAGGGGTATGTCTGCAGTATAGAAAGCGGGTTTCGATACCCGTGGTGCGCAGATCCTAGATAGCCCTTTGTGCTTAAGCGCAAACACAAAAACAAACAGCCGTAACAAAATTTACGCTAGATTTCAGGGATTTTTTTTCCTATTGATCTTAGTTAGTCCATGACGGATTTGAAATATTATTTTTTATACAATAATGATTTTAAATTCGTTAATAAAAAAACATCTACAACCAAGTGTGATATTTATTTCGAATGTTAGGCCTATTGAATGATTTTTATTTCGAATGTTAGGCCTATTGAATGATTTTTATTTCGAATGTTAGGCCTATTCACTTATTTGTTTAGCCATCTTTAGAAAAACCAAAAAAAAACCTTAACATTAAATATTTCTACTTTTTATATAACCTAGCTAAACAGTTTTAAAAACTCTTAAAATTTATGCAATAAAATATTCTTTCAGTAAATGTATTAACAATACCTGAACTTTCTCCGATGACTAACCAAAACTTTTTCAGGTCTTGAAGAGCGAGAAGGAAATCTGGAGAGGGGTGTGTTAAGACTTCAAGAGGTTCTCAGAGGAGAGGCTTAGGAACAATATGTCGGTCTCGATTTCGTTACTGGTATTCTGTATGATTTAACATCAATTATGAAAACACCGGAAAGTCACATTCCGAACCAAAAGTATATTACACCTTTTAATATCTATAATTACTTAACATTTTTTTCCACTTAATATTTCCTTCAAACTTGACATTGAATATTTTGTTTATACTCAAGCTGGTAAATTTTATACGAGTGAATTGAAGGGATTGAATATTGCCTTTATGATAAGTTCACCCCTTATTGATTCTACTTTCACTATACTTGTCTAGCCAGTTTTAATGTTTTTCAATCCAAAAGACACTGAAATGGTAGGGTAATACACTTATTGAAACTTTCCTTAAAATATCAAAGTATAAATAGTTACATCACTTGTAGATATGATGATATATTTACATGATTGTGAGTCTAGGTTGAAAAGCAAGAAAAATAGATCCTGTTTTTCACTCTCAATTCTTCACGCTTTCTACACACTCAGCTTCACATGAAGCATTATGTGAAAAGTTAGTTCTGAGCTAATTGAATTATGCATAGACTTTCTTGACGTGTCTTGCCAATAGGCCAATCAAGAGATGGTACACGACAGAGTCTCGTACTCACGAGATTCATGATTTGTGTTTTAAATACTCAACAGTTTTATAAAAAGAGTAGAGTGAGAACACTGAAAGTATACTTAAAGTGCCTTCACACATTTTATAAGTGTTTCTAATACTCATTTGTTTCAATCGTTTGAAATTAACAACCACGTAGTCACGTGTAGTGTGATACACAAACACTGCATATACTTACTAGTTATATGGTACACAAACACTACATATACTTACTAGTTGTGTGATACACAAACACTGCATATACTTACTAGTTGTATGGTACACAAACACTGCATATACTAACTAGTTGTATGGTACACAAACACTACATATACTTACTAGTTGTATGGTACAGAAACACTGCATATACTTACTAGTTGTATGGTACACAAACACTACATATACTTACTAGTTGTATGGTACACGAACACTACATATACTTACTAGTTGTATGATACACAAACACTG